CACTGCACTGTAAGTCATTTTAGTGCATTTCAGCTGAAGCTCCAAGGAACCTTAATCCATGTTTTCTTTCTAATTAGGTTAATCTTGCTCTTGTCGGAACCCAGTATACATGAACAGTGTATGCTTTATGATGACTGAAATTGTACAATATGTCCAATAAATAACCGATGCTTTCCCAAATTCAGTCCAGCAGTAAAGTAAAAAAAAAAGAAACATACCTTCTTTGACGCATTGCTCTGTAAAATCTGGATAACGTCTTCAGTGAGAGGGCAGAGAGGGTGAGTCAGCACCTGTAAATGTAGTGCCCATTTGTTTGCTTTGTTTAGTTCTGCTTCAGTGGTATAGTAGGCCTGGAGTGTTGAACTGCGGGACGTCAATTAAGAACGTTCATTCAAATATTAGGACCACGCCCACACAGTTTCTCAGATAGGTCTGATGTGTTTTTAAAGCAGTGTATTATCATATTATCAAACTTTGCTGGATGTTTAATATATCACTGAATTTTAGAATCATACAAGTATTTGAAGAAAAAAAAATTCTGTATTCCTGGGTGGAGACTTGATGTGGTGGTGGTGTGTTAGTGTGTGTTGCGCTGGTCTGAGTGGATCAGACACAGCAGTGCTGCTGGAGTTTTTAAACACCTTAGTTTCACTGCTGGACTGAGAATAGTCCACCAACTAAAAATATCCAGCCAACAGCGTCCTGTGACGGCTGTGTCTGATCCACTCGTACAGCACAACACACACTAATACACCACCATATATATATATATATATATATATATATATATATGATATATGTGTGGTGGGTATATATATATCAGATTATATCATATCATTATATATATATATATATATATATATATATATATATATATACATATATATACTATATATATAATGATATGGATATAATCTGATTTTTATGTAATTATGTATCCTCAATTTAATTAAAATATGTTCAAGACAGATGCTTATAGTGGAATTCCTTTATGCTGTACTATGAAATGCATCGATACATTGTGATGCAATGATCTGAAGGTGTCGATTCAACTGCATTGATTTTGGAAAGTTATAAAAGATTATAATAATATTCAAAAAGGATGCACTTTTTTCCATATTTAAGGCCTGTAAGCCTTCATTTGAAACTAATTCAAACTTTTGAAATGGTATAATGATATTTAACATTTTACAATATTTACATTTTTCGCCTTTAAATTTCTCCTTTTGTTAGCTAACTGGTCCACCTACTTGAATTTTCCCCCACCTTTATGCATACCTCATGTCATGTTTATGAAAACAAAAATAGAGGGGAAAAGGGTAAATTCAAATTTATTGGGAATTAAACAATGAAGGTGCACCATGTAAGTTTTGGGGATTTAGCGACCTGGTTTTGGTGGAAATGTGTAATTACAAACAAAGCGCAGAATTTTTATCATGGGCTGTGCTTCAAACCCCTTCCTCGAGTGGATGAATCTGATGATTGTGAGCGCGTTGCAAGAGAATTCAAGAGAACTCAGTCTAAACTTGGTGAAGGACGCGTCTTCTGAGGATGTGAATGAATTATCTACTACTGTCATCATATCCTTATCAGTATAATGTTGATTTTGCATTAGAGATCTAATCAATGAACCAGACCTTCTTTTTGAGTCTGTGCGTGTGACATTAACACGTAAAGCTGCATGACTTGGTCTGAAAAAACAGCGGAAAAAATCTTCATACAATAACAAAGTGTCTTCACCTTGGGGATATTTCAGCCACACAAACACTCTCACTATGTATACAGTATTACTTGGGTGGAAAAACCAGGCATGACAAACTGCTTTATTCTGAACATCGGCTTAAAAAACACAGATTGTGTCAGTATGAACAGTAACTATGATCAAAAACAGAAGTGGGTACATTTATAAGCATGACCCTGTAGTGTGACATAAGCACTGTGTCACAGAAAGACAGATGTGACAGTGTAGTTTTAGTTGCAGGAGAGACTCTATGATCTCACTCTCTGAATAAAGTAACCTATCCAGGCTCCGCCTACAACTGCGTCCTTTAGTAGTTAGCACTGCAAGACTGGACAAGCTTTACAGAACACTGGCAAAAATCCCTTTCAATCTATCAAAAAATTGTAGTGCAGTTTGTTTAGAGTCACTACATAATGTTGAATTGCTAGAAGCTGTGAATGCTACGCTACCATGCTGGACTACAGTAAAAGTCAGTGACCACCCTTTTTTAATTTAATTTCTAGACAAAAGTCATTAAGCCATTAAGTACATGTTCTTAAGGAGATGTTTTTTTAGCAGATTAGATGTACGATGGAAGTGAAAATTCAAGATGGAAAAATGCAGGAGAAAAAAATATTAAAAGCTACAGGCAAAATGGGGCTCTTAACAACCATGAAAGACCTGCTAGACACCAAAACTGCCCCCATCAGATTAACAGCACTTAAAGCTTTCATCTTTGAGAGAGAGGAGAAAATCAAGCTGCTTCAGATCTGAAAACATCCACAGGTGTTTCTGTCCATCCTTCCACTGTGAGAAGACGACTCAGCGCTGTGGGTCTGAAAGGATGTGTAGCTGTCAAGAAGAACCTCACTGAGACTCTGCAATGAGCATGAAATCCTGGCAAAAGTGATAGCCAAACGTTTAGAGCCTGTCCTTCCTTCAGTCGTCTCAGATGACCAAACTGGGTTTATTAAAGGTCGGTACTTGTTCTCAAATATCCGTAGACTTTTGAACATTGTATTTACTTCTAGCTCTTCTCCTGTCTCTGAGGCGGTTATATCTTTAGATGCGGAAAAAGCTTTTGACCGCCTAGAGTGGGACTACCTTTTTGCCGTTCTTGATAAATTCTTCACCCTCTGCTCGAGTTTCTACTAATTCTGTGTTTTCTTCCTCTTTTCCTTTACAATGTGGTACTCGACAGGGTTGTCCTTTAAGTCCCGCTTTGTTCATTTTAGCCATGGAGCCTTTATCAGTTGCCCTCAAAGCGTCATCACAGATTCAGGGTATATCACGCTATGGTGTAGAACATAGAGTTTCACTATACGCAGACGATCTCTTATTATTCATCAGTCGTCCCCGATCCTCAATTTCGGCAATCCAATCAATTTTAAAGGAATTCGGCTCTTTTTCAGGGTATAAATTAAATTTTGAAATAAGTGAATTTTTCCCTTTAAATTTTCCCTCATATCCGGTAGATCTGACCAATATTCCTTTTCGTTTGGCCCCAGACGGCTTTAGATACCTTGGTATAAATATTACTCGTTCTTTATCTTCTATTCAAGAAGCTAATTATACTCCTCTAATGTCATCCATGAAGGAGGACTTTCGGAGATGGAACAATCTTCCCCATCACTTACAGGCCGAATTCAAAGCGTTAAAATGAATATTCTCCCCAAATTCTTGTTCTTATTTCAGTGTCTCCCTGTGTTCTTACCTAAGTCTTTTTTTAGGACTCTTGACAAGGCTATTATAGATTTTATCTGGAGCGGTAAAATCCCCCGGGTCAATAAGATGACTCTTCAGTGGCCCAAAGTTGAAGGTGGCTTGGCCCTCCCTAATTTTCTGTTTTATTATTTTGCAGCCAATATTCACAAGATTGCATTCTGGATCCAATCACCGGACACTAATTGGTGTGTTTTGGAATCACTATCATGCCAGTCCACATCTCTGAATGCCTTAATATTCTGGGGAGGGTGGGGAGGGTGGGTCATGGGGTCGGGAGGAGCAGGGCTAGATGATTACAAGATATTGTGGAATTGACATTGTTATAATTGTAACTGTTTTCTTTGAAGTTGTGAAATAAAAAGGGAAAATCTTTAAAACTGAGAAAAGGAGACAGACAAAGAAAAAGAACAAAGAAGCTGCTGGTGTTCTCAGAATAATGGACTGACCAGCCCAGAGTGTTTGGGATTACTGCAGAAAATGCAACCACCTTCTAAGACTGAACTTTGGAGGTGTGAAAAAATATCCCTGCAGATTTCTTTGAAAAACTGAAAGTGAGTCTCCTGAAAAGAATGGAAGCTGTAATAAAGGTAAAGGGTGGATGCACTAAATAGTGAACACTGTGATACTTAGTTGTTGAGGCTTCTGTATAATTTTCTTTTAAATCGCTGCTGTCGGAACAAAACCTCATATCTCCATTTTTCAGTTTTTGACAAATGCCTGTTGCTCTTTTCATTGTGTGTAAATTTCATGATGAAAGGAACAAAAGAAACGACCCAAAATGACTTGGAAAAAAGTCTGGTTCCATTCGCTTTTATTAAAAGAAAAGTATGTTTTTTCCTTCTCCTCTAAAGTCATCATTTTGGAGATACAAGGTTTTGTTCCGACAGCATTATACTTAAAGGGGAACTCCACTGATTTTGCAAAATTACTCAGTCATTCAATGGTTTAGATGTAAAGAAAATCATTCAGAGTGGTTCGGTGTGAAATAAGCCTCTCTAGAGAAATATATTGACTCAGAATTGTTAACCATTATAGTACTGGGAACCAGATGTCTGACACATTTAATGGCTCTAAAAGCTACATCCCATTAAGTTATTACATAAAATGGTTATGAATGCATTGCCTGATACCTGAGACATTGTTTTGGTATAGTTCTAAAGTTTTTCACCTAAAACTTATTTTTAATATAAACTATTACTCCACGGGTTTAGCACTATTTTACCATATAAAACCTTATAAGACACATGTAAGCTCACTGGTCATTTTGGATAGCAGATAAAATTGTGATATTTGTAGTGTAGACATACGGACGTCTGGTTCCTAGTACTACAATGGTGAACAATTTTGACTTGCAAATTTCTCTAGAAAGGCGCATTTCACACTAAACCACTCTGAATGATTTTGTTTACATCTAAACCATTGAACGATGAAGTAATTTTGCAAAATCGGCGGAGTTCCCCTTTAATATCTCTCTTGACTTGAAGACTTGAAGGTGGTCTCTGACTTTTGCACAGTACTGTTGCTGTGGCTAATTTAACCCCTTAACATCCCAGGCTTATTACATATAAAGGCTTATTATTCAGCTTATGATACAGGAATTTCAATGCAAACTGGTTAAGCTATTCAGAGCTTATAATAGTGTGTAATAAACTGGAACTATTGCTAACTGTAGCTGGAATACTTGTCACAATAAAACCATATCTGATCTATCCTAACAGTGGGACCTTTCAGACATATACAAATACATATCATTTGAAATTTATAACTCACCACAAATGGAATGGAATTCTTCCTAATGTCCTGTAAAGCTTGTCCACCTACAGGCAGTAACTACAAAAGAACACCTTTGAGGGCGGCGCAGAGACAGATCAGTTAGAAAAAAAACAACACAAACACGCAACACGCACAACATTGTGTAGGACCCCACAGGGCAAAGTGCACTGAGCTGTGGTTAATTCAATGGCAGTGTCCACACTGAGCAGGGGTCCGCTCAGTGACAGTGTCCAGACTGGGTTTTGGAATGCTCTGGAAGCTGCTCATCTTCCGCTGGCCCTGTTTCTTCCCTCGGTGCTTGGACCCCTAGTGGAGATCACAGCGGTCAGAGTTCCAGTCTCAGTCTCACAGTCTGAGTTCGAGACTTGGTCAGTGCTGGTCAAAGTCCAGCAGGTCACAGTCAAATCTACTGGTAAAAGTAAACTGGAGTCAGAGTTCAGATGTGAGAGTGTGTTAAAGAAAGGAGCAGAAGGACTGGGCAGGAGCCGCTTCTGTGCTCCGAGGGTCTCTTCATAGAGAGATACTGCCCACCCCATGTGTGCCTCCAGTTCTGTCCAATTCTAGAAGGTTCTAGACCAGCTCGTCCAGCAGAGTGCCTATACTTTGGTGCTGTTCAGTGGCTCCGGACAGTGCCTTGTTGCACATGGGGCACACACACCGCACCTCCAGCCACTTCACCACACACCTGAAAATACACACACACAGAGAATGCATGCAGATATGTCACTGTCCAAAGAAAGATCAGCTAGATCAGAGAAAACACGACAATATGCAGGACAGGGTAACGTTACTCCACTCCAGGGTTAAGAGACAGTTAGAGAAAGGAAGCTTTGATTTTGACTGTAATAAAGCTTATGTGACCTTAAGTGACCTTTTCAGACCTTTTAGGCAAAGTTAAATTTAAAGTATCTTCAGCTGACGTCAGCGGATAGTGCAGGTGAATAGGGACGCAAATGTTCAGGTGTGGAGCTGTGGTCAGTTCAGACAAAGGCCCAACAAGCATCTATAGTGTGACTCACCTCCTGTGGAAGGCATGTTGGCATGGCAACACGCCCAGTTCATCCTTCACCTTGAAGTCCTCCAGGCACACGGCACATGTCTGCTGTGGAGAGAGACAAACGGACATGGATACGGAGAGAGAATCATATGGGCACACAAGGACACACACGGACACAAACACAAAAACACAAAAATCAGATCTGGTCCTGATTTCGTGACAGACAAGAGAAACCTTCCATGTTAAAGCACTTTTACTGGCCTACATAAACACAGTAAAATAAGTATTATATAGAAAATAATGTATAAAAAAGAATACATTTAAATACATGCACCAAACAGCCACTTCATTAAGTACACCTACCTTGTATCTATTGCCCATTTTATCAGTTCCACTTACCTTATAGATGCACTTTGTAATTCCACAATTACAGACTGTAGTCCATCTGTTTCTCTGCATACTTTGTTTGCCCCCTTTTACCCTGTTCTTCAGTGGTCAGGACCCCCACAGAGCAGGTACTATTTGGGTGGTGGATCATTCTTGGTAAGACTGACGTGGTGGTGGTGTGTTAGAGTGTATTGCACTGGTGTGAGTGGAGTCCATGGGGGTCCTGACACTGAAGAACAGGGTAAAAGGGGGCTAACAAAGTATGCAGAGAAACAGATGGACTAGTCTGTAATTGGAGAACTACAAAGTGCTCTTATATGGTAAGTGGAGCTGATAAAATGAACAAAGAACACAGATACAAGGACGTATACTTAATGAAGTGGCAGATCAGTGTTTTCATTGATGCATGAAAACCTAGTATCTCTTTTTTTGCATAATTTAAAAAGTCCAGTTTTATATATATATATATATATATATACACACATACACATACATATATGTGTATGTACAGACACACATATATACATAATACATAATCATATTTATGCTTTTATACTTTATACTGATGTTATTTATTTATCTCTAACCACACTTGTGTATTACTGAAAACAGTGATTCCAAATATTGAAACACTTCTAAATAGCAGTGAATGATATCTGTCTCCTAATCTACTATATCGTATCTGCATCTTCTTTACCCCATGAAGATTCAACTTCTTAGTGTCTCCCTTCAGGACGACCTGAAAGACAGGACATTTTGTAAGCTCTCATGTGAACCAAGAGTACAAGTCTTACTTTCTACTCTTTTAATCTTTAGGCCTATCATTTCAAAATTCAGCATAACATTCATTTAGCCAACAGAGTCATTTATAAATACAACATGATTGCAAAAATACTGTGTTTTCTTTTTCATACATCACCTCTAAGGCGAATATCGTACCTCTTTATATCCAAACCGCTCACTTTGGGCTTGGTGCCTCAATTTACTGATGGAGACAAAAAGGAAAAAAGAAACTGATCACTAAATAAGCACTGTGATGGTAACTATATGTAAAGAAACAGATACTTATAATTGGGTTGTACTAAATGGGAAATTCCACCGATTTTCCAAAATATGTGCATAACTAAAGACATTGTTAAGACGTAAAAAGAGTCATTCAGAGTGGTCCGATGTGAAACGCTCTGCTCTAGGGAAACTTAAAGAGTCACAGTTTTCCAAATGGTGTTGATAGGAACCAGGTGTCCTAAAGGTTTAACGCCTCTATAAGCTACCTTGCAGAAAGACAATACATGAAACAGTTAAGGATATGCTGCCTGATGTCTGAGACATTGTTTCAAAATAGTTTTGAGCTAAAATTCTGGCCAAAAAGGTATTTTTAAAACTCCATTCATGGTAGAGAGGTACGTGCAGGTTGCTGTACGGCAAAATAGTACTCAAAGAAAACTTATTTGTCAGATTTATAACTATTTTACCATCATCAACATTACATACAAAAACTAAACACTCATGTAGGTTGACTGCTAGTTTTGGACAGTACATAAAATGCCTATATTTGCATTGCAGACATCACAACCTGGTTCCAATCACCACCACTGAAGTTTCTCAACAATGAACTGTTCATATCAAACCACTCTGAATGACTTTTTAACATCTCATCTCAACTGAATTATGTAGAAATTTAGAAAGTCAGGTGGTATACCCCTTTAAATATAACACTGTGCATTAAAGTACTACCATATACATACTGTGTTCTCCACCAAAATACATCTTTAAAAATCTGGCAAGGGACCACCTGCCCTGTTTGTTCTCATACACTGAGTTACAACAACGTGCAATGTGCGCTATCACCACCAGATGTCGCTAGAGCTCCTGAGAAACATTCACAAAAAAGATGAGCTGTAGCAAACAGACTGAGGGATTCTGATTAGGAACTGAATTGAAGCAGTAAACCGGAGTGTTACAGCATGAGTCACTGACACAAACTGACATGAGTCACACTTAAAGTAAAGTACAGAGTAGACTGAAGTGTTGGTGGGATCAACTTGACTTATGATTCACTGATTTTCTGTGTCGTTTAATAGCCAAAAGCCACCAGTCTCAGCGTGAAATCTCGAGTGTGTCTGGCATGCTGATTCTCCAATCAAGAGGAGACCTCATTTAAATATGACTTCATTTACATCTCTCAGTGGTTTTGCAGGCAATCACTCAAAAATGCAACCAAAAATTGAAATTCAGTAAAATACGGCACTTCTTACACTGTGTGATTCAAAAGTCAAGAGGTTTTTTAAGTCGAGATCTCATCAGTCACATTACAGCGTTCACTGAGATCAAGTGCTCAAGATTCAGGCCTGTCATTACAAACCAAACAGAGTACACGAGGATTTGAGAAGAACTAGTGAATAATCATCGCATATGCCTCTAATGATAGGCTAAAGATGACAGATAAAGGTTTATGCAGGTTATGTACGGTAGCAGTTGAATGTTTGGGTAACCTATTTACAAAGATGTGCCCCCCCCCATTCCAATAACAAATATGGAATGATGAAGTGACCAAAATCATTTAAAACTAATCCAAAAAGAAGCCCCTGTTTATCTTAATGAAGCTGTTCACACTTTTCTCATTTCAAAAAATATATTTTAAATATAGAACTTGAAAATGAATGGAAACAAATACATTCATATGAATCAACTTCACTACTTATTATAGCTGTCAAACAATAAAACAATTAATTGTGATCAAACGCATTTGTTTTATTAGCAAATTTTTTTTTTCACAACAAAAAGCAGTGCGTTTAGTTATAACTATATGAGTAGACAAAATAAGCTTCATCAGAATGTATTTAGTACTTTTTATAATTCATTACCATGAATTTCATAATGTGAATGCAGGTTTCACATAATTCTTAACATAAAAAGTGTGATTTTCACAGAATGACTACATTTTCCAAGTGCCATCAGCGACATCCAGTGAGAGCAGCAGTGGCTGCATGTTCCAACCAATGAGTATATATATCCTATATAACACATTTAGAGTGAGTGATTCCAACTCCTCTGTGATTTTAGCTTCTCACTCTCATTCATACAGCTTGTGGATTCTTGCTACAGTGGAGGCTCTCCAGAGGAACTGGAGCTCCACCTTTTTGTTGCTTTTATTAGTTTGCTGCTCATTGAGTGTGATTACCTGCACCCAATAATCCAATCATAATCGAATTTCTGCAGTTATCTGATTATTCAAATGGTCATGTAAACAGCACACTGATTTCTTAGATCAGAGTAAGGTCTAGAAATCTGATTAAGAAATCTGATAAAGAGAGCTCTATTTTAGCTCAGAACACAGTACTGGAAATAAGCATAGAGCACTTAACACGGCAACTGCAAGATGGCAACAAAACACTTCTAGAGCAATAAATTGAGTTTATTGGCTGGTTGCAAAGCAGAAATCTGACTCATGTAGACAAGGAGTTTCCCCATTATCTAATTACCCAAGTGCATATACACATGTTGATCAGATTACTCAGGAAATCAGATTTTTCTGCAGCTATCAGATTATTGCGTACATGTAAACGCATTCACTGATTTATCCATAGGTTTCCTGTGAGCACTGTCCAGTGCAGTCTGCTGAAGCACACGCTACATACGGTCTGAAGGGTGAAACTATGAAAATGCATTAAGTTTGACAGCCTTACTCTTTTCATATAGAGCATGGAAACATTTCAAGCATTTAAGCATTTTAGATCAAACTTTCTTTAAGATTTTGAAGAACACATTTAATGAGATGGGTGGAAGAATTTGACTTGTGTTTTATGTGCTGGGAGTGTGAAGAACTGCTGATCACTCAGTCAAAGATTGGTATGACGTTTGGGAGTGTGTCTGAAGGCAATGATGCGTGCAGAGAGCTGTGTTCCCTGCTAAAGTGAGTGGAGGTGGGGCTGGCTTTGGAGGCCAGTGACATTCTACATTCCTCCAAAATGAGACAAGAGAAAGAGACAGGGAGAGAAACAACTCCATTCTCCATTTCTCTCATAAATATCAGGATTCATCTTACGCCATCTTAGGCTCGAACTCAGGCCCTTCTTGTTGTGAGGTGACAGTGCTACCCACTGTGCCACCATGCTGCCCACAATATAATACAATAAAATGCTATACTAAAAAGCAATAAGAGGACCATGCAATAATGATTTTGCCACAGTTAAGGGGTGTTGTTAAGCAGCGTAAGGCCTCAACAACATATTATCTATACAGCCTAAATACAATGTGATGAAAAACTAATTTTGTACACAGGTCAATGAGTAATTTACTGTTAATAATAGGTACACTAAACAATTGACCTTCTGCAAACTTCTGCCAAGTCCTGCCTCCCACAGTTACTGTTGCTACGTCCATCAAACTTTCAGCTCAGACTACGTGGTAGCACTGTAGCACTTATGCTAGCAAACTAAAAAGTTCAGTAGCGCAAAGGAAATCTCTAACCACACAGAGAAGAACATTTGAAATAAAAATAAACTAGGTTTACAAAATGTTCAGTGCAGACACACGTGTCTGAGAACTGACAAAGTATGAATGTCGCCCAATTTAAAGTGAGCAAAAAAGGATTCTGGAAACCATGTTCACATTAATCAAACCAGGAGAATCGTTTAGCTACTTGACACTAAAGCATCATGTTTTCACCTCTAACAATGAGGAGGTTCTAGCAACGGAAGCTACAATTTCAGATGAGCTGATGCTAAAGCTAACACTGGAGCTAGTCAGAGCAATGTTGGATGTTGAGGAGGACTTTTTGACGTAACTTTTTCAGCTGCAAGAATTAAATAATAAAAACAAACATCCTCCAGATGACGACGATGGCACATCAGGCAATATGCGACACCTTCCATGATTTCTTAGCCCATCATTTCAATTGATATGTGCAGTCTTATATACAATGGCCTAAAACATGACCCAGCCAATCAGATTTTAGAACCAAAACCATCTGTTTAAGATGAGAATGGAACAGAATGGAACTTAAGGGGACAAAAAAACTGTTACTGGGTCGTGCCATTGCTATTACATCAACACACAACGTACATTATGTATGTGCACAGGTGTTCTGGAGTCTATCGAGGCAAAGAACAATACAAAAGGACAGCAGACTAAAATAGCCTCACATTTGCTCCAATGGTGCTGAGCTGGGGTGGAAATGACCTGGGTCACTCTGCGCCTACTGATGTGAGTGTGGCAACTTCCTGTCCCTTATCGCCTCATTTCCTGCCCACTGTGCTTTTCACACCATTGTGTTTTCAGCTCATCAGTAAGCTTCTGTTTTGTGGTGTGTAGTTTACCTTATGAAGTAGCAACAGAATATGAGGCTGAGCACAAAGACGAAGATGCCTGTGCCGAAGATGACCATGTAGATGTTGAGTGGCAGGTCTTGGAAGGTGACAGGCGGCATAGTGCAGGTCCTATTGGAGTAGATCAGTCCCAAACCGCAGAAGCACCCTACATAGTGACAAACACAGTGTTTAAAATAAATATATAAATAATATATATATATATATATATATATATATATACATATATATACAGATTAGTAGTAGTCCATCAGCAAAGAAGTTTGCTTCTTTAGTTTTGTGCTGGAGCTGCAAAGCTAATGCAGCTAACAAGGAAGGAAATACATGACGAAAGGGTTAAACAAAGTCAGAGTGGTTTGGTGTGAAATGCTCTGATCTAGAAAAACTTGCCCAGTCACAGTGGTGGTGATAGGAACCAGACGTCTAAAAAGTTTAATGCCTCTGAAAGGTCACTCACAGAAAGTTATAATACAATATGGTTACGATCAGTTGTCTGATGTCCGAGACGTTATTTAACAATAGTTTAGAGAAAAGATTTTGGCCTAAAATGTTTTTTTTTTTTTTCAGAATTATTACTATTTTACCATTATTAACATATAAAAACTCAGAAGACACATGTACTTCACCAGTCATTTTGGACAGTTAATAAAACAGTGGCCATCAGGATTCCTATCACTACGACAGTAAAGAAATCTGAGCCTGTACGTTTCTCAAAAATTAACCACTTCACATCAAAACCCTCTCAATGATGCTGTTTACATTTCAATGAGGTAATTATGCAGAAATTCCTACACATTGGTGGAATTTCCCTTTAACCCCTCAACAAGCCATGTGGGCCAAAGTTTTATACACTCCTATAACCTAAGAACAGCTTCATTCGTTTGCAGTCCCTGTAGTTACTGAATAATAAGCCTTAGTATGACATAAACCTGGACTGCTAAGGGGTAAAGTTGTCACTAGATGACATACTTTTTTTATAAAAGTGGACAAAAGTATGGACAAAATTCAAGTTTCCTTACTTATGTATGGCTGCTAATATTGGGCCTCATTCACCAACCATTCTTAAGAAGAAATTTCTTCTTCAAACCCACTTACGCAGTTTTCACGAACACTCTGACATTTAGCAGTGTTTTCTTATTTGGGGTTTGTTCTCAGGTCAGAACAGGATCTACACACACTCAAGAGCACAAAGGTGTGAACAGTTCTGCAGTTTGAGAACACGTCATAAATGTGACATAGACTTTTTCTTAGGGTCTTTTCCAAGAACACATTTAAAAATAAACTTAAAAAAGATATTTTGTGAATGAGGCCCAATGCTTTTTTTTGGCGGGGAGGCAACATATTTCTGGCCATTTTTATAGAGTTTGGAACAGTTAAGAAAGAGCAAAACAATCATGACTGCAGCAGTTCATAGACTGAGTGGTGTGTTAAACTACGTAGCAATAATAGTGAAGCCCCAATTTTGTCTGTACTTTGAGCATTTTAGGACTGTTTTTGTCCATGTTTTTACAGACGATGAGAAGCAAGTACACTGACTGCAATGTAAAACAAATTGCTCAACTGCTTGAGTGATATAAGTGGTTTCAGATTCCAGCTGGGTTGTCCGCAGAACTATGATGGGCTCAGTGGTGGCTCAAACTCAAGCGAAATGACTCATGACCCAATTAAATTTATGGTTGGGGCGCTTTAATATGGGCCTCATGGGTTTAGGACTGATCTTACTGGACCTTCCCCTCTGGAACTGAAATTAAGAAAAAGGGTCCCTGATAGAAAAGCCAACACAAACCAGCACTGCTGATCAACAGCAAAACCTGTGTTGTGTTTTGGATGCTGGTATACTGGTCAACCAGCATGACCATGCTGGGGTGCCCAGCTAAACCAGCACTAGACCAGCATAAACCAGCATAGATCATTTTTTTTCAGTAGGGGTGACGTTAGAAATGTGCATTGTGACTAATTCTGATAATCAAGTGTGCATAGTAAGAGTTCATACACAGATATACGGTTAATCAGAGGTTTAAAAAAAAACAATGCAACGAACAGACTTTGGCCGGAAATCATTTTGGGCTGAAGGTTTGCCATTTTAGGTGACTGCACTATAAAATATAGCAGTACAGCTGAGGATAATCAGTAGCTAACCGAGGTTGCCTCTTCAGATGAGCTAATGGGCTAACACAGCTAACCAAGCTAACCAGGGTCATGTTGGGTGTTGATGAGGATTCATTGTCTTATTTGCTCCTCAGTGGACGATGTGCTATCATGTTGTCAGAGAAATATACTTTCATTGCATTACCTGGCTAACATCAGCTGGAGTTGCTAACCTAGTTAGCTGTGAAGCTGTGCTAACTCTGCTTTCTCAGTCATGTCCTTTTCAACATGCTCGGTTAATATTTAAGTATCGCTAGCATACAATTAGTGTACAATTTCCATTTTGTGACAAATATGTGTCTCGGTGTAAAAGTCTTACCGGTTAGCTTTCTTCACTCTGAGGTGAAAAGTTAGCCGCCATGGTAGCTGGTGTTACACATACAGAGTAGGACACCATAGAGGACAAATTTAATCTCACTGTAAACACAATGCGCTGTTTTAAGCAAAAAGATGAGTTACGGAATCCGAAGTGACTGATGGCGGACGATACTGGGGGTCGCCCGTCATTCTAGCGGTATTAATGTCAATGTAAACAAAAATGTCATTATTGAAAAAATGCTTTCTTTTAAATCCAAACAAGTCTTGGACATTAATCTACACATATATTTCTCCTGAAGAAATTAATTTGGGTGAGTAAAGTGCTTGCATTTATCTTAAGTTAGCCTAGATTGCCCTTACATAATGCATCTTTACATTAATTCATTTTAAAAGGTGTCCTAGTTTATTAATTTCCAAAAAAAATCCAGAATATTTTGGAATTGATAACAGGGAATACTTACAATACATCCCTAGTAAAGTTTTCAGTACAAAATTATAAATAATGTTCGAAACGTTGTATCATTATGTACATTTTAAACCAGGCATGTTAAACTTGGGACCTTCCGGGCCAAAGTGCCGCGAAGATTAGCGATTATGCTCATCTAACGCTCTGAATTCAGATCATAAAGTCCTTGCTAATTAGCTGATGAGCTGAATCAGGTGTGTTTAATGAGGCTGAAGTCTGCAGTGTTTTGGCCCGCGAGGAATGGAGCCTGACACGTGTTGGTAAACTCGTGTATCAGAGATACAGTTTAGTCTCTTTTGAGGGGCTCCGATTTACTGTCTTTTAATCCATGATTAAAATTCGGCACCTGAACCCGTCCTATCAGACTAAAGTAGGTGGGGCTTATGGACCAACTCATGCTCAAAAGACTGGGATTTTTCTTCAGTTATATTTTAATTGTGCTTTTATGCTGATATTTCAGAATTTTCTTTTGGGGGGGATAACGATGAAGGTTTTATACATGGTGGTTTTATCCATGCTGTTTATAGTTCAGCTGCACCGTTTTATAAGATCACTGTTTTGCACAAGGACATTATTTTGCAATGTTTTGAAATAACTTTTCTTAGCCAAATCAATCTGTACAGAATTAAATGTAAAATGTAAAATGTAAAATGTAAAAATAAAAAAAAAAATACATACTTAATTTAGTATGAAAAAATGTTTTAAACCTGAAAATGAGCATCGTTGCACTCTTAAAAAATAATGAAAAATAAAGTGCAAGTCCTTAAAGCTAAGCTATCTCCAGAAAATTCAACTGCTGATATCCTGGGTCAACAAGCAGGTGTTCTGTGACTCATGACTGATGAATAATCAGCTCGTCACTCTCGAGAGCAGATGCTGAACTCGCCTTTGAGACAATCATCAGTCCAGCTGCAGATATTTATCAAGCAGCAATAGCACAAGGAATATGATGCACTACATCACCAAAAACGACCAAAACAGTTTTCTGCTCAGTGAACAGGTGCAGTCAAAAGCTTCAGAGTTTAGATACACCTGATTAAACGTATGCTTTTCATAATCTTAACGCTATTTTGTCTAAAGGCCTTTGATTAAATGCTTAAAAATGTGCAAATTTAAATAGCAAAATTATACCTATGTATGAATTAATTTCCAGAACTATTTTTTAAAGAAGTAAATGAAGGTAAAGAAAGTAAATTAGCTTTCACTTGGTTTGTATAGTTTTCACTTGGTTGTGAGCTTTTATTTGGCTGTTAGCTTTTGTTTGGTTGTTAGCTTTTGCTTGGTTATTAACTTTTGCTTTGTTGTTAACTTTTACCTGGTTGTTAGCTTTCGTTTGGTTGCTAGCTTTTGCTTGGTTATTAGCTTTCGCTTTGTTGTTAGCTTTTATTTGGTTATTAGCTTTCGCTTTGTTGTTAGCTTTTATTTGGTTGTTAGCTTTCGTTTGGTTGCTAGCTTTCGTTTGGTTGCTAGCTTTTGCTTGCTTATTAGCTTTCGCTTTGTTGTTAGCTTTTATTTGGTTGTTAGCTTTTACTTGGTTGTTAGCTTTCGTTTGGTTGCTAGCTTTTGCTTGGTTATTAGCTTTTGCTTTGTTGTCAGCTTTTACTTGGTTGTTGGCTTTCGCTTGGTTGTTGGCTTTTAGCTGGTTGTTAGCTTTCGTTTGGTTGCTAGCTTTTGCTTGGTAAGCATCTCTGACTTGAGAACAGAGAGACCGTAGGGAAACAACCAACATTAGCCTTGTGATTGGTGAAAATTATTGTTTGTACACATGACTGAAGGTTAGGACTACACAGTTTACATTGATTTTGGCAAATACACTGCATATTTAATGGGCATTGGTAAGTTATTCAGAGGACATACTTTGTACATGTATATTGTGTGCACAAAAAAGCAATATCAACCTACTTAGAGAGAAAACATGTATTTGCTTTTTCTTGGGCCTTTAAATATTAGCATCAGTTTCAGAAAAGATGAAGTGGTATTACTATGGAATCGATTGTATTATAACATCCCAAAGTCCATGCAGCTGAATTGGCACCTTCAGATGAGCCCATCACAATGGCACCGATGGGGTGTTACACCTCCATTAAATTGTAATTAAACTAATACAGATTTTGTTGATTATGTTTGCCCCTCAATAATAAACAAGTCGTGAGAAGGCTGTAGGCTTCAGCTTGGCCTGTGTGAGCGTGGCTCTTCCTGATCTGTGGTGGGACACT